ACCCCCATGTTAGTGCCCTGCACATGGATGAGGCCCCTCCAAGATTCAGGAGGCTCAAGGGGTGCAAATCACAGTACCCCTAGAGGCGGCTTGGCAACGAGAATTTCCAGAAAGATGTGGACCCCATGTTAGTGCCCTGCACATGGATGAGGGTCCCCTGCACCTGCACTGTGTGAGTAGTCCAGACGGGGCTGGCAGAGTGCTAGCTTGTAGGCAGAGGCATGGACATAAGGATTGGGTTTACCCAATAAGTTGCCCTTGCAGATTAAATTTTTTTTTTTAATTTATTGATTTGGGAGAGAAAGAGAGATCGATTTGTTGTCCCACTTAATCATGCGGTCATTGGTCGTTGTTCCTTTCTCATCGATGTATCTAACTCTCTATCCTTCTCCCTTCCTCTCTGTAAAAAATCAATAAAATATATATTTAAATTTATTGAAAGAGAGAGATCGATTTGTTGTCCCACTTAATCATGAATCATGCGGTCATTGGTTGTTGCTTGTATGTGCCCTGACCAGGGATTGAATCTGCATCCTTGGCATATAAGGATGACACTATCACCAACTGAGCTAAGCGGCCAGGGCCCTTGCAGATTATTGATGTTGTTGCCTCCTTCCCATTCTCAGCTCAGCTCAAGGGACCCTGATCTATAAACACTTGATTTATACTTCTGGCCTATAACCCTGCCCCCACTTCCACCTCCTACTGCTTTCACTGGGTCCAGCGCCAGCCTTTTCCACCACACTCAGCTCCGTGGGGCTTGGCACTATGGTTTAGTCCCAGGAGTTACAAGCAAATGGTCACATGAACTTGATGGGGTGAGAGTGTCCTTTCCACTGACTGTGCCAGGTCATGTGAGGAGCAGAACTGTGGGAATTGGACATACAAGGTTGCTGTCCTAGGGATCTCATGCTCTAGGTGGCAACAAATGACATAAAGAAAGCATCCCCCAAACGAGGAGCAATATTATGAGAACTATAAAAGAGAAGTACAGCTGTGTCTAGAGTGCAGCCTTCCTGCTGTGGCAATCAGGGAGGGAAGGAGTGATTGAAAGTCACCTAACAGAGAAAGAGCTGATATATATATTTTAAATATTTTTTAATTGATTTCAGAGAGGAAGGGAGAGGGAGAGAGAGATAAAAACATCAATGATGAGAGAGAACCGCTGATCGGCTGCCTCCTGCACGCCCCTTACTGGGGATCGAGCCCGCAGCCTGGGCTTGTGCCCTTGACCAGAATTGAACCTGGAGCCCTTCAGTCTGCAGGCCGACGCTCTATCCACTGAGCCAAACCAGCTAGGGCAAGAGCTGATATTCTTAGTAGATAAAAAAATTTCTACACATAAATAAGAAACATGCCAGCTGTGTATACTTGGCGAAAGAATTTGAAATGGTTCAGACAGTAAGGAATACACATAAAAGGCTCTTACACAAATGAAGGGATGTTCACCTCACTGGTGCTAAGAGAAATGCACATTGACATCTGTGAGGTCAACAACTTATTTTGTCATAAAAAAAGCAAAAACAATCAAACACTGTATGCTTTCTACTGGAAGTCCACAACACCACACATGAAGTAGTCTTGCTCCCCAGCAAAACCTAAAAAACTGTGGCTCAGTGGTGGAGCATGGACCTATGAACCACCTCGGAAGGGGCCGCAAGGTTTCTGCAGCCCCTCCCCAATACCAGGAACCAACCCTCTCCTCAAACCTGAGTTCACTGTTCTTATAATCACAGGCCTGACAAGGGTGCTCCGGGGTCGAGAGAGGCTGTAAGCCAGAAGGAAAGGGAAGGGAATAAGCCAGGAACCCAGGAGAGCTTCCTTGAGGAGGTGCATGATCAACATTTACGAGAAATGAGAACGACCTTCTTCGTTCAGGGTGAAGGGAGACATAGGATAAGCATGTCAAACTTGCAGCCCACAACAAATATTTTTTGTGGCCCAGCCAATATAATGGTATGTAAGAAACGTTTTAATAAAAATTTCCTAACTTAATTTTTACAATATCCTGTGATACATAATCTACACTAATAAAAGAGAAACATGGTAATTGGCGTACGACCGCTACCCTTCCCATTGGCTAATCAGGGAGATATGCAAATTAACTGACAGCCAAGATGGCG